CGTTATGAAATTGTTACAATGCTAACTTGAACCGGTATCTTACCAAACTTGATATGAACTCTGGTCGTCTAATTTGGAGTTGTCTTGCGATGGTAAATATGTCCACTTCACTGTCCAATGTCATTTGTTCTAGAGCGTTAAATACCACACAGAATGGCCCACATCGTTTGGCTCCGTCACTGTATAATAAGGAAAAAAAAATAAAACTTGTTGGATTGTGCAATCCTGACAAAATGAAACCGAAATTAAAAAAAAACAGTGAGGTATAAAAACCTTGACAAAATGAGGATCCTTCCATCCGGGTGAGTTTTTTCTTCAATTTTTGCTTCTTTGATCAAGTCAATTAGAGCTCTGCGGTTTAATGTTTCATTATCTCCTTTCCATCTTTTACATTCCAGTACAGACACACTCATACTGCTTAAATCCTACAATCGGATAGAAAATTAAAGGTGTCTATACTTTATTTTTCCCCCCTAAAATAGTTTTATAGTACTATGAGCAGATAATAAATAACCTTCTGTTGCAATACAATGTGTGTCCTGTTGACTGTTTCTGACTGTGTATAGTCCGTCACTTTTACAGTGAATGTTCCAACTTGTTTCTTTTCATTTTCAGCTGGAAACCAAAGGGAAGACTACAAAAAACATTAAAACAGAAATGCAAGGTGTACACTTCATTTAATTTTAATCCGCAATCGTACGTCCAAGCAATGTTTACCTCTACAAATTTCTGTCACATTGCATGAAAAATTATAACGAGATACTTTATTATAATTTTTCTAATTAATTTTTTATACAGAATTTATCAAACATACACATAATAATTATAAGTATTTTTTGAGATGGTCTCTCAATACCATATATTTTTGTTTGATTTCAAAAAGAATTTGGAGAACTACACATTAGAATCCAAAAGTAGACAAGAGGCCCATGGGCCACATCGCTCATCTGAGCACATTGGCAAGGCAAAAGCACAAATCAGTTCAGTATTGAAAAGATTACGGGGGGGGGGGGCTTGAATTTTAAACTACCTGATGATGCTTCCATGTCAATATAACAAATGACTTTGTTGTACTTGAGAAGATTTTTTTAAAAAATTCCCATATTTTCCTTTGTAAAAATTTGATCCCCCATTGTGGCTCCTCCCTATCCCAGGGGTCATCATTTGAACAAACTTGAATCTACACTACCTGAGGATGCTTCCATATCAATATGACTAAACATAGCTTTTCTGTTCTTGAGAAGAAATATTTTTCTATATGTTCCTATGTAAAACTTTCGATCCCCCTATTGGGCCCCAACCTACCCTCGGGGGTCATCATTTGAACAAAATTGAATTTACACTATCTGAGGATGCTTCCATATCAAAATCACTAAACATGATTTTCAGTTCTTGAGAAGAAGATACTTTCCTATATGCTCCTATGTAAAATTTTCGATCCCCCATTATGGCCCATCCCTATCCCCTGGGGTCATCATTTTAACAAACTTGAATCTACACTACCTGAGGATGCTTTCATATCAAAATGACTAATCATGGCTTTGCAGTTCTTCATCAGAAGATATCTTCCTATATATTTCTATTTCAGACTTTGATCCTCCTGTGTGGCCCCACCCTACCCCAGGGGGTCATGATTTGAACAAACTTGAATCTACACTATCTGAGGTTACTTCCACATAAATATGATCAATCAGGGTTTTGCTGTTCCTGAGAAGAAGATTTTTAAAGATTTTTCCTATAAATTTCTATGTAAAACTTTGATCCTCCACTGTGGCCCCACCCTACCCCCGGGGGTCATGATTTGAACAAACTTGAATCTACACTACCTGAGGATGCTTCCACATGAGTTTCATCTCCCCTGGCTTTGTGGTTCTTGAGAAGAAGATTTTTAAAAGATGCTATTAATTTTTTCTTATTCTTTATTATCTCCCCTTGAAAGAGGGCGTGGCCCTTCATTTGAACAAATTTGAATCCCCCTCACCCAAGGATACTTTGTGGCAAGTTTGGTTGAAATTGGCCCAGTGGTTCTTGAGAAGAAGTCGAAAATGTGAAAAGTTTACAGACGGACGGACGGACAGACAGACAGACAGCTAGACGGAAAGACGGACTACAGACAAAATGTAATCAGAAAAGCTCACTTGAGCCTTTGGCTCAGGTGAGCTAAAAAAAGGAAGAAAAAACTAACCCCCCCCCCAAAAAAAAAAAAACTCCCATAAAACTGATCTGCAAGGTGCATGTATATCAGATTATATTTTGCAATTGTATTTCTATCATTTGTTGAGAATTATGTACATTATATGTTTGTATCAATTTTAACCAACATCACACATCTACTTGATACTGATGCCTTAAGTTTTTGTTTTGAAATAATGTCTTGTTTATTATGTTGATGAGTATGGATTTAGTATCAGTTTTAATACGTAATTTAACATGTCCTCTATTGTACCGATTCAATTTCCACCAATGGAGAGAGTGATACAATGGTTGGTGTATAATATCCCTTTACAAGTCTCAGAAAATCTTCCGTATAATCTGGGAGAGGGTACTGGGCACTGATGAAATGGTCACTCTTTGTAAAAGACTAAAATACAATATATAAAGATAATTAACTATTTGTAAAATTTGAGCATTGACTCACCTTAAGCCCATATGGGTACTAAAATAAAATGACAGCAAAAAACTAGCACATGAGATCAAATTTTATCTCAAGTATAAACTTTTTTTTTCATTTTTGTTTTAGGAAATAATAATTCTTACTTCACAAAAAACACCAAAATCCTTCATGTAGCTCCGGGTTTTGCGCCTCCCCCCCCCCTCAATTTTCACTTTACACATACATTATCATTATATACCTAACAAAACGTGATATGCCAATGCTTTGTCGATTACATGTACAAACCTGTACAGAAACTGCGTTGTAATAGACGTTCTTTCCTTCTGTATTGGACAGCAGACACATATATCTTTCAACTGAAAAATTAATTACCAGTTTGAAGAACTTTTGTGTTTCGTGCTTGTAGAATAAATTATGTATTAATTTAAACTCTTTGATGCAAATTCGTCTAAGGGGGTAAATACACTAAACATTCCTCCAAACTTCCTCCAAAATAGCACTTGGGCGAAATTATATATTTTGGTCCAAGTAATGACAGTTCCTTTGCATTCAATTTGGTCTGTGAACTTGAAGGATAATGAATTTCTTTCTTCTTTCTTTCTTTTTTGTAATTTGTAATACATGTGTGTTTAGTTTTTTTTTTTTCAAAGGATTTACAATAATATAATATAATTATCACTATATCATATTCCTTTTTCTGTTGTCAGTGGCGGATTTAAGGGGGCGCGCACTCGGCGTGCTCCCCCTAGAATTGTCAAAGTTAGCGTAAATCATAGTTTCATCGAGAAAATGTAAAAATGTCTACTTGGTAGACCTCATTTTTACCCTACAAAATCTCTAGAATCCAGGAGCTGGACCCACTGGGGGCCTCAAGGCGGCGCCTAGACCCCCTGCCTACTTTTTGTGCCCCCTCTAACTGCATTCCTGATTGTTTACGACTCAAGTACATATGGTATATCAAACTTCACACTTATAAGGCAGTTTTTCTTTGTCTAGATATTCTAGTCCTACTCATAGTCAATGAAAGGAATGTTCATTATATAGGAAATGTAGCTTGGCGAGGCAAAAGCATTATTTTAAATTTATTATATGTAAAGTGACTTCTGTGGGTTTTATGGAGACATGAATTCCAAATTGTTTGTGTAAACGTTTAAAGTTAATTTACCAGGCAAAACAGTGGGAGAATAATTGGCTGATACAAATGTTCTCCCTGATTTGTAATCTTCGGGTGTGTATTTTTTCCTTACGGACACCAATTCCTGTAAAATAACCAAAGAAGTACTCTCATTATAAAAAATGTTGACATAGATATTGTTCTTAAATATCATACGAATAGCACAAGCAATTTTTTTTTACATATATACTGTTAAAATAATGATGTATGAAGTAAATGGAGAAAGAAAGAGATATTATCTAATGTTTATGTTTATGTTTAATTTATCACCTCATATTCTGCAGACATGGGGGATTTATTGGCCACCTCTCCGAGGTTGATATAACAAGAGTGTTCCTGGAACTCCTGTAGAAATGCTTCTGTTGAGATAGACCTCGATTTTCCTCTGAATGATTCAAGCAATGCCATATATACAACTTTGTACTGATCCTAAAACATGAACAGTAAATATGATTTGAAAATCGTGTAATGTGTTCCTCTTTTCTGTTCTTACGGGAGTTTTTATGCATTCTTCCGACTTAATTCAATATAAACTCATATCATCAAAGCTAAAACTAACACAGGGTCTAAAAGTGCACGATTTTAAGATTAATAGAAGTAAGAAAATAGAGTGCAGCACAAAAGGAGGATAAGTAAACACCATCATCAACATTTTTGAAAGAATGAGAAAAAAAAATAAAAACACAAAAAAGCCAGAATGAAGAAAAAAATCTCTTATGTTTTCCAAGAGCTTTGAACAGCCTTTGAATGGGTGTGTTTAGACTAGCTGCAGATCTGTTACTCGCTGGTCTGAAAAAAAAATTGGAATGGTCGTCCATCCCAAGCGAGCTACAGATCTGCAGCTATGTACAGACATGCATATTAAAAATTATGTTGTAAAGAAGTCAGTTTGGCACTAAAAATGTTAACATTATTATAAATATTAACATATTTATCACTGATGTTTGACCTAGAAAGAATAATTAAAAAAAAAAAAACTATTGTGATTGACATTCGAGTGATTTCAGAAATAATCATTTTGGTAGGTTGTCTAATTTAATCGTATACGTTGCTCTAAAATTATACAATTTTCATGTGTATGTTCGGAAAAAAATACATGTTCATATTTCTTTAAATCTCTAGCAGGGATTTATTATAGTGAACTTTACATATGAAACACTCACAAAACATAGAAGTCTTTAAAATAGTTTTTTTTTTAAAATGCACACTTACTAAGCCTTGGATCATGTTCATCCTATCTTTCCTCATTGCTTCTACATACTTTGGTACGTTGACTTTCCCAGTTATCTCCCCTTCTTTATAGAGGGCGTCCAGTGCTATGTAGGTTCCCGTTCTACCAATCCCTGCACTTTATATGTCAAATAAATTTTATTATTATCAACAAATACGTGACGATGTACAAAATACACTGTTTTTGTCTGACGTCATGGCGTCAGACAGTATTAGATTTAGCCAAGGCTTGTTGGTCAAGTCGTTCAATAGAATTCTTGTGATAACTTGATCTTGGAAACTTCATACTCAGTTGGAGAGCATGGGGAGTACAGAAAACAATCATTCTAAACACCCAAACAAGCCAGAGTATTGGAGCTATTTATTATCACATTATACATTACAGGTTACATAACATTTGGCCATTCTCGAATGCATATCATTTATGTCCAGCAAAACAGCAGGAATGAAGCTGATCAGGTCAACACTTGTCGATTATCTTTATCAGATTAACTAATGGATGTTTATTTTCAATACATACTAAGACTCTCTACCTTTAGAATTTTTATAAATCTACACATATTCATAACTTGCAGATGTTTGATTTCCGCCCCTCGTGAATTAAAAATTGTGAGTGTATTTACCAATAACCAGTTAATATCTATAATGTAACTATGACATAGTTCAAAAATTATCAAAGTGAAGGATAGATGTTGAATATTCTTTTGCTTAAGGACAGATGATACAAACAAACTTTTATTGAATATCTTGAAAATAACAACTAAAGCCATGTTTATATAAGTAAAATGAATAAATTTAACCGCATAGTTTTTAATTTTTCATTCGAAATTTCACATTAATAAGATTTAAAGTGACAAAAATTGTATAGATTAATAAGGATGGTTGAAGACAGGTAGAATTTTGAACACCATAGAAAGTTTACAATTTCTTAATAATTTAGAAATTTATTATTTGCATCATTTGCGATCAAAATAGGTCCAAAAATATACACCTATCCAGACATCCATTTTTTGTTTGTATCATTTGTCCTTAAATGCAAAGATGTTAGCTACGTTCATTTCTTTAAATAAGACATTTCTTAACTATCAAAATTGTTCATCAATTGATTTTTATATGTTGCAACTTTTTCTTTCAAAAAGACTGGTTTTATCTTTGTATCCAATGAACAGACCTGTTGGAAGAAATTTCAGAAATTTGCAGTTTAGGGTGGACACTATCAAGGAAAAATTCCTTATAGAGCATACAAAAGTTATCAGAAGTTAATATTTACATGATTTAGCTGACACAATCATAAGATAGCTATGTACATGTATATAAATCGACAAAATTATTGGGGGGGGGGGGGGTCCTACATCTAAGAAAAAAGAAATTACAAGTAATATAATGTACACAGAATAAATTCATGACAAGTTTTATTTTATGTTGATGCCACTGAATTGAAATTTTCTTGTTTCTTAGCAAAAGAATTCATTTCATGACTAAGACTCATGTTGATTACACTGTATTTAACATTTCTTGATTCTTCACGTAAAAATAAATTTGCTCAAGTCAGACAAGCTTTTTAGGAAAGCTAATACTTGTAATAACTTTATATTATAAACTTTTCTATGCACCTGCAATGAACAAGAGTGTATTTGCCAGGGTGTCCATTTGAAATTTTCATCACGTGACGGTGAAATATAACCAAACTCAGTGGTTCTGGGACATCATGGTCTGACCATTGTGTGTAGTGGAACATAAACACGTCACGCTCTGTCTTGTCCTGATAAACAAACACTGTACATATACCATATATTCATAACTGTGACAAAAATATTAGACACAGAATTCATCTTTTTATAAATATGTTTATACATGTATATATTCCATCCTTGTTACATTGCTATAAAAATTCTATGTATCTGGTCATTGCACGAGTGCAGTCTTTAAAATTCAAGATACATTTGTATTTTTAAGTATGTAAGAAAGCATGTTAAGGAAGAGCCATAGTCGGTTAACATCTAAGGGAACTTTTTCAAACCTGAAATATTATATTACTAAATCGCATAAACATGTTTATGGGAAAAAGCCATTGTCATCGTATACATTAGCAGTCCACTTTAAGTTGGGGGTACAAATCAACCTTGCTGTGGCAAATTAAGCTTCAGATAAACAATATATAGCTATATTTAAAACAAAGAGCACAAAGATAATGAAAGTATTACATATTGATAATTTTACTTTAACGATGAAATATATGGAGATAACTAACAGTATTCAAGCTCTAAAGTCCATTACACAATACACATTTTGGAGCAGAGCAAACACGAACCTCTAAAACATCAGAGGTGGGATCAGGTAGGAGTGAGCATCCCCTGCCGACCGGTCACACCCGCCGTGTGCCCCTTGTCATGATCGGGAAATAACAAAAAAATCCGTCGTCAATTCAGTGTGTAAATAAGGCCTAACAATTAGTATGAAAAACATCAGTCAGCATTTGATTTAATGATAAATTGTATTTGCTGATAAGGTCCTTATATCGACCATAGAACTTACGGAATGACGACTTTAAACGAGACTGTTGATCAACTTGTTTGTCAATAACTTACCTTGTTTTAGAAATTGTTCATACGTAGAGCATGCTCTTGCATATCGAATCAACTGAGATATATAAACCCCGTATACAGGTGATGAAGGTATATTGCTGAATAAGTAAGGGAAGTTGACGACTGAAAAGTTAAAGTCATCACGTTGATAATAGCTTGGTTGTTATATTACCATTAACGTCTTTTTCTATTAAAATATCCAAAAATTCCAATAGATTGTTGGAAGACCTGGTCTCCATATACCAAACCACATAGATATTGTCAATCAGAAACTCAATCATCTTTTTAGCATTAACTTCAGGGTACTTGTGTGTACAATCAGAGTGTTTTTTAGCAAAATAATTTTGCAAATGACCAATGACAAGGTAAGTAAATTCTCAACACTTTATACAACCGTTCCCCAGAAATAAATTAAAGTCTTGGCATTTCGACATCGTAGACAGCTGTTTTTCAATAAAAAATGGAACTCGTAAATATACTTACTTTGTCAATGGTCATTTGCAAAAAAAATTGGAATTTTCATGGGTGCCAATTGCGCCCCTTATCATCAGACTTATTTTTGTATTTATATGAAGCAGAATTTATTCAAAAATTTCTACATGAGAAGAAGAGAACACTTGCTGTGGCCTTCAACTCGACATTTAGATATATCGAGGACGTATTATCAATTAACAATAGTTACTTCATATATTGACACGATATATCCCAGTGAGCTTGAAAATAAAAGATACCACAGAGTCTGACACATCTGTTTCATATTTGGAGATTTTCCCAGAAAAAGACTTTAATGCTATCCTAACAACAAAGCTTTATGATAAACGTGATGACTATAATTTTACATTCGTCAACTTCCTTTACTTATGCAGCAATATACCCTTATCACCTGCATATGGCTTTTTTTTGTCTCCCAGTTGATTCGATACGCAAGAGCATGATCGACGTATGAACAATTATTGACAGCTATTGACAAACAAGTTGATGAAACAAAAATATCGACAGTTTCGTTTGAAGTCATCATTCTGCAAGTTTTATGGTCGACGCAATCACCTTGTCAGCAAATGTTACCTTTCATTAAGTCAAATGCTGACTGACATTTTTCATACTAATTGTAAGGCCATTATTTACACACTGAATTGTCGACGGATTTTTCCTTTTTTTCCCGATCATGACAAGGAGCACACGGCGGGCGTGACCGGTCGGTAGGAGATGCTCACTCCTCCATGGGACCTGATCTCACATTTGACGTTTTTGGAGGTCTGTGTTTGCTCTGGGCCCGATTTGTATTGTCTAAATGGATTTTCAGCTTGAATACTGTTCGTTATCTCCATATTTCATGTCCAAAAATATTTTCGTTTAGTATAGACAGCGTCCTTTACATAAATAAGTTTTTTTGTTAGTGAAAAAGAAATAGTCACATGCACTATAAAGATGATGCAATGCACCCTTGTTGTAGATTTCTGAATGTCAATTTTCATAGCAAGTTAATGTTTAATTTTAGAATATCTGAGAAAAATCCAAATTGGGAAAACACATTATTAAATCTAATAATCGCATTTATTTGAAAGTCATTTTATAGTCATATCTGTTTTCACATAATTGTTTACACAGTTATAATCTAAATCATAGAAATTTGACCTTTTTTGCATAAAAACGCATTTTTGGAAAGAATGTCTTTTTTTCTAAACATTTCTTTTTAGATAACCAATTTTAATACATTTTTTCTATTTTTTCATATAATTCAAGTCTTGCTTGAGACTTTTGCCTAAGAAGACAATAAAACATTTTTACACAGATCGAAACCCCATCATTGAAGATACATGCATCTCTGCGCAATTTTAAAAGGCACACCAGTTCTTTTTAACCTTATTTCAAAAGCAGCCTTTTTCAGTCATTTTGGGGATAAAATAACATTGAAAAATTAATATAATTATTTTTCAAATGACGAAAAAAAACCAAAACTACTAATGTATGTTTTATAATCTAAAAATAAAAAAGAGTAAATTAAAATATTTCTTATCAGTTTCGTCATTAACAATAATTATACAGGGGATTGTACAGGGGATTTCATATTATTTGTCTCTATTACAAACTTATGGTTTAGAAGGTTTTATAAAATTCAGACTTTTTTCTGGTATATGCACTAATGATTTTCTTTCATAATGCCTTTGATTTATCCTTCTTCAAAAAAGTCTGTTTTACATTGTGCATTCTATATAAAGTCCTCTTTCTGATACACCCCCCCCCCCCCATAAATACTGATCATTGCAAAACAAGTCCTTTATAGTTTCTTGCTGTCTTCTCAATTTGTTTCGACAAGAGACTAAATACATTTTGATTATTCGTTCTGATTTGGATAATTCTTTGCATTATCCCGATAATAAATATTGGAGAATGACATTCATAATGCAGCTACACCACTTCAATTCTTTGTTCTTTAGATGGAGGCATAGAACTTTGTGTGTTTTTTGTTACTTCATGTATGACACCATATCATCAAAAAATCTTGAGTTTTTAGAGATGTAATTTTTTTTTTCCTTTTTTCTTTAGAATAATGTTTTATTTTTTAAAATATGATTAAAATTAAAGATTTTAAAGGCATTTATAATTGGGACAAATATTATGAAACACCCTATAGTAGAAAACTAATCAGAAGAAATTCCATTTCATGGTGTGTAAGAGAGAAGAAGCATTAAATTGGTGCAGGAAAAAACATTCGTTTTAGATTTCCAGAAAAAATGCCTTAAGTACATTTTACACAGTACAATTTCATCATAGCCATGCGTAAAATTTTTGCTATACGTAAAAAAGCAGTTGAGAATATTGCTGTTCTTCTTCTTTGTTTACTTATTTTTACCTAAGGGTCTTGATTCTGTAGTCTTTTTTACTTGAATACCATGGATAAAGTTTGTTACATTAATGGCAAGTGAATTAAAATCTAATAAACCGCATACTAGTAAACAATATAGTGTTGTTTCTATATAAAACTTCAAGTGCATTTTTTTTGTTTTTGAATGCAGACTTAAGTTCTCACCGAGCTATTCTGTAGGCGGAAATGCCTGACGACATAGTCAGCAAATGTTTTCTCCTCTTGGTTCCGTACACTTATTTCTCCATTCTTGGTTTTGTTATGAGAAGTCGGCCAGTATTGAACACATTTGGTCTTCCACAAAGATTTGAGAAAAGCAGGAAATTGACACCAATATCAACATTTTTTTTCATTGAAAGTATTCAATATTTTTTTTTATATTAGATTAAAACTTTTGCTCGCGTCCCAGTAGTCATCTTATCAATTAAAACTTAAAATTAGCTATAAGCTTACATTGCATTTATCTCTTAAAGGTAAAAAGGTTCAATATTCAGCGATTAAAGTGTAACTTATCCAAATATTTTTTTTATCATATCATTTAATTTTTTTCTGAAAGAACTTAAAAAAACCTGACATGAAAAGTTATCATGTTTCTTATAATCCTGTAGAAAAGTATACTTAATATCATTTACCCTTCCTCCATCCTTTACATTTGTAAGACAGATTATCACACTAATATCTTCTCCCCAGACCATTTTCCAGAAATCAGCAATTGTCTTTGATATTGGTCCTGGTATAAAAAAAGTATATAAAATGAATATATATTTTAAACTACAGGAGTAAAAAAAAATCATTTTTTCCTTCAAGAACTTTGAAATTTAATTAAATTACTAAAGAAAGCAATGTTGGTACTTACCTTGAGTGGCAATGTATGATTTCTTTTTATGTGCGTCCTGTGGTTAAATAGACACCAAAAAATTCAGAATTATAAAATTCATAAAATATTAAATATTATATATGTTTTATTTAAACACATAAATCAATATTGTGTAATAAAATGTAGATTTTTCGAGTAAAATGCTGCAAAAAAGGAATTACCTCAAGAAATACTAGGGTACTGACCTCAATGTAATTAGCATTTATGTAGTCTGATTGCTTTTCTGTTGCTTGGAGAACAACCCGAGAATGGTCATCTGTTCAATAAAAATTTTTATTTTCCAAGTTTTTTAAAATTTGAAAGCAAAATGAAGAAAGAATCCTCACAAAAATGTCTATATTTTAATATACTAGTCTTGACACATACAAGGGAAAATTGTTGTGTAGCGATTTTTTGCAGCATTCTCTGGCTTTTTCCCTTCGTAACACTGATACAGTTCACCACTTGGAATTGTCTGAATACGAATTCATTGAAGAATAGAATTTAATTCTTTTAAGCAGTCTACACAATGCACCCTATATCCAACAATTCAAAGGATATTGTACAACACATTAAATATATTGTTCTGCACTTATATTACTGTATGTTTTTTTTTTTACTGCGTCAAGACACCCAGAAAAGTCCTTAAAAGGTCGTGGATTGTTTTCATTTTTACATTTAAAAAAATAGATTTTTTTTTTCCTTGTACCGAGAAAAAAAAACATACTTTATTTTTCCTTAAAACATTACGTGCATTACTACAGAATGATATAGATTCAAATAAACTAAAAAGACTCCAGATTTTTGTTTTTGTTTGTTTGTTTGTTTTTGCATTTTAGATAAATAAATCTAACATTATTCTAATATTTTTTTTTATGAAATAGTATACGTTACCCTGTATTCTTCTTTGATTCTGGCGTTCTCATTTTCAGACAAAACAAGAATTATTCTGTACAAATCTGTCACAGCTACAGACTTTTCTAATTTTGTTTTTCTTGTTTGTTCATTTGATTTTGAATTCATTATTGGATTTTCAACTACATTCATTTCCATCTCCTGAATGTTTTCATCTGCTAGTTAAATGAAATATTTATCACAACAGTATTTATGAATTCAAGTCTCAAGATATATTGTCATAAGAAAAGGTATATTTCATTGTATTGTACTTATATCCCGTATGCTAAAAAGCTTTTCATAGTTATTGTTTATTCATAAAGAATTGAAACATTAAATGCAACGATTTCATTTATTAAGAAAACATTGTCTTATGAGAAAATATTTTACGAGAATTTATGTATGCACAAGTATTTTGATGCCAAATGAAAAAAAGAAATGTTTTTAAATACCCTTTGTTAAAAGCTCATCAACAGAAGAAAATTCATTTATATTAGTCTCTTCATTCGATGTATCTTTCTTTCTTCTTTTCCATCTATATATATATATATATATATATATATATATATATATATATATATATATATATATATATATATATATATATATATATATATATATATATATATATATATATATTTCTTGATATTTTTCATTATTCTCCAATCATAAGAATGCTTTTACTTTAAATGTATTAAAAGCAAATACCGAGTAAGTACTATTCCTGCAGTTACTATGATCAATAGAAGAGTTACAGATCCAACTGCCCCTCCTACTGCAGCAGGTTTTACTGTATCATCCTGTTGGACTGATGCTTTTAAAAAGAAAATAGAAAACCTGTCTGATTACAAAGATACTCCAAAGAACTTTAAGAAAATGTAAAATAACAAATATTTTCCAGAGTCGGTAACATCGAAACATATGATTTTTCAACACTTTATACAAACATTCTCAAAAAAGCTTAAAGTTGGGGGGGGTGTCAAAGACAACTGCTTCTTCATCGTCTTAAAAAAAATGGAACTCGGAAATTTTCATACTTTGTGATTGGTCATATACAAATTATTTTTTAAAATCATTCTGATTCTATACACAAGTACTTAGGCTTACATTCTAAAGGTGCCCCATTGACAATATCTATGTAGAATTTGGAGACCAGGTTTTCCAACATTCTTTTGGAGTGCCAATGGGCAATATTTGTGCTCCTTTATAACAAACCTCATTTTTTATTTGTATTAAGCAGAATTTATTCAAAAAATTTGAGAGGAAGACTCAATTTTTGGCCTTCAATTCGACATATAGACACAAGTACTAGTATATCGACAACGTTTTGTCTATTAACAACAGATAGTTTCCTTCATATATCGATTCGATATATCCCAGTGAACTCGAAATGAAAGACACTATAGAATCCGTCACATCTGTTTCATATTTGGATGTTTTACAGATTGTAGACGATAATGGTCATGTAACACCTAAACTGTATAACAAACAAGAAGACTTAAACTTTTCCATCGTCAATATCCCTTTTTTTATGTAATAGTATTCCAATATACCTGCATAGTGTGTTTATGTCTCCCAGCTGATTAGATAAGCAATGCTCTGTGTACGAGCAATTTTCAAAATTCAGGCTGCTGACAAATATTTTGATGTTTCAGGGATTTCAACAACCTCGTTTAAAGTCAGCATTTCGAAAAATTCTCTGATAATTAAAACAAACTTGTTTTGCAACGAAACCTATCACTGGATCGTAATTTGACTTCCAGGTTTCGTATTTTTTGCTGGGCCATATTTTAATACTAAATTTGACTACGGTTTACTCCATCTACCTGATCAACACATAAGGTAAACAGAGGATATATCCGGTCGACATGGGATGCTTACTCCTACAAATATGTATTGTTGTTCAGAATTTTGAGAATCATCACTTTTCGTTTTCTTCACCACCCCCCCCCCTCCCTTCTTAACATCAAATTATTAATTATGAGATTTTTATTTAATGATTTAGTTTTGAGAACAATGTTTACACAAGTTTACACAATGTTTAATTTTGAGAACAATGTTTACACAAGTTTACACAATGTTTAATTTTGAGAACAATGTTTACACAAGTTTACACAATGTTTAATTTTGAGAACAATGTTTACACAAGTTTACACAATGTTTACACAAGTCAATAAATCTAACCGGTAGTTAAATAAACGTTTGAAAGGATGTTTTCAGGTAGTGTGTGTGTGTGTTAAGGGAAAGTACTTATGTATGTCTGTCTAAAAGGTAATTCGAAAATTGAGAAATGGATTTCAATAACATTAAGATGTGTGTATTAAGGTAAGCATGAACCTTTATAGAAATATCGCAAAAAAAAACAAACTTGCAGACGCTGGAATTTGCTCAAGTGCCAATTTTCCGTGGTTTAATTGAGAAAGTGCTGAAAGACTAGGAAAGAATTAGTTTTGAAATGTCAAGAATCGAATTAGAGGCAAACATAGTTAAGGATGAAGATGTAAGCTTTTTTCAGTTTTCGGAAGATTTGCGTCAGGATAGGACAGACACAACACAAACAATATACATGTATAATCTAGTAATATTATGAATATTAGGATTTCATTTCTTTTAGGTAAGGTTCATGGACGTAAACCTCCCTGAAAACACTCTCATGATAATTTTAAGTTGCAATAATATTCAGTTTAACTTTAATTTAGTGTACATACACTGGATACACAAATCTCCCAAATATCCCGGTGCACACCCCTTTTCACAAGATCCATTCACTGGGTTACAAATCGTGTGATTAAAGCAATGACCGCTGCACCTACGTAGACAATCTTTACCATACGTTTCTCCTGAACATTCTAAAATATACCGGAAACTTGTTAAACCACAGAGTATAAACGAAATTTTTTTTTTAATTCTTAAATATTATCATATTTAAATTGAATTCAGTTCCTAAGTTAGAAATATTAAACATAAAATCATGAGATTTACACACTTTCATCCTTACTGTTCCTATCTTACCTTGGTTGCATTTCAAACCCATCCACCCAGGTTCACATCCATATAAGCAGTTGCCTTGTTTGTGATGACATGACTGTTTCACACAGTTCCTACTACAGGGAAGAGAGCAGTTTTCTCCATACCAGCCTTTATCACAAGCTAAACATTTACAAGTATACGATAAACATGGCAATTATCAAGTCTTGTAAAGAAAAAATACAGAATGTTACTGTATTTTGAAATACGTATGACCTCAGATCATATTGTCACTTATGAAATTAAAATCTTTAAAAAAAATATCTCTAAAAAGAACTTGATATATAAAACTTGTGTGAAGATTTTTTTAAAGTTAAAATATTCTTCAATTTACCGGGAAGGATTTCAAAAATGATAATTTCCTTTCTCAAAGTAACCTCAAATAGAGGGCGTAAGAATAAATTTCAGCAAATTTGTTTCCATGAACTTACTCCTATTACATTTACGTCCGATAAATCCATCTTGACATCCATTTTCACAATTTCCATCTTCATGGTTACAATAGTTTATTCCGTGTCGGCAGTGGTTATTGCATTGTTCTTTACAATTCAATCCATAGGATCCAATAGAACAAGCTATGTAAAACAAAAAAAAATCACTGATGAGACAACGTCTACTAGTTTGTTCTTAGAATAGGTAAAGAAAACACTGGTTTTATGTTCATGGAGTTATGTATCATTTGTTTTCTAAATCTGTACGAAGTTTTATCGAAATCAAGCAAACAATATAGGAGAAGAAATGTTTTGAAATAATTCTACATAATACCAGTGCTCTATTTTCAGTAATCACGAAAAACAATGTTTATCGAAATCAAAATTGTACTTTGATGTAACATATCTCTGCTCCACACTAAAAAAAATCAGAAATAATTTCACAAGAATGTACTCGTTTAGTAAAAATGGTAACACTGTACATGGATATGCACGAACAGATTGTTTTGAAAGACATTAAAAATATATCCATTACTGTAAGCATAAGAACTTCTTTCATCGAGATCAAAATAAGAATACAAAAAATTATGTATCTTGATGTAGGAGGGTAGCGTTTTGAAAGACTTTTACAGAATTACACGCCCGCGTGGCGTAGTGGTTAGAGCGTCTACTCTAGAGTCGCAGAGTAAGGAGCTGATCCTTACGTCGCGGGTTCGAATCCTCTGCGGGGCGTGAAGACCGGTCCTTCGGATGAGACCGTATAAACCGAGGTCCCGTGTCGCAGTAGCCAGTAGGTGTTGGCACGAAAATGATCCCTCAATGCCCCTGCATGGATGCCAAGTATAGGTATAAATTTGCAGCCCTCCACCGGCAAGTGTGGCGTCTCCATATAAGTGAAAAATTCTCGAGAGGGACGTTAAACAACAAACAAACAGAATTACATGTTTCTATTTGAGGTAGCCTTTGCAACATCGTTCATCTAAATAAAAAAATCCGAATCATTTATCAGACTAAAAATGAAGGAGGCGTAGCGTTATGAAAGAATTTCAAAGAAATTTCTGTTTCTAGTATGGAACACGGAGATAACGAAAAGCAATCAAGCACAAAAGTCCACTGAAAAAATACAAACATGGACCACTTAAAACAGACGTGGAAAAGGGTCCATTGAGGAATAAGCATTCCCTGTCGACCGATGTCATGTGTGCACCAGTCATGATTTGGTAAACGGGAAAATCCGTAGACCATTTAGCATGAAAATAATGGCCTAACAATTTTTATGAAAACGTCAGTCAACATTTGACTTAACGATAGATTGTGTTAATATCTTTGTACATGATTGTGTCGAATGTAGAATTTGTGAAATGTTGACTTAAAACGAGACTGCTTATATCCTTGTATCATCAACTTATTTGTCAATGGCTTGCCTCGTTTTAGAAATTGTTCGAACGTAGAACATGCTCTCGCATATCGAATCAAATGACATTACCCCAACAAAAAAATACTATAGTCAACTATAGTTTACTATAGTTAACTATAGTTAACTATTGTGATAACTTTGACACTATGGAAACTTTGATTTACTATAGTGATAACTTTGACACTTTGATTTACTATAGTATAACTTTGACACTTTGATTTACTAAAGTGATAACTATGAACACTTTGATTTTCTATAGCGATCACTATGAAAACTTTGATTTACTATCGTGAAAACTTTGATTTACTATAGTGATAACTTTGAAAACTTTGGTTTACTATAGTGATAACTATGACACTATAGTGATCACTTTGAAAACTTTGGTTTACTATAGTGATCACTATGACACTATAGTGATCACTTTGAAAACTGGTTTACTATAGTGATAACTTTGATTCTTTGATTTACTGTAGTTAACTATAGTTAACTATAGTAAACTATAGTTTACAATAGTATTTTTTTGTTAGGGTAACTCCATACGCAAAAGTTAAACTACTCTACCGTGCATGTTTAATCGGCTCATCATGAATTCGCTGGCAAATTCACGTCAATCAAAACGAGTCTTTAATGTTATACACGCTAACTTGCGTCAGTTAAGAATAAAGTTGCAAATTTATTTATTATGTTTACCAATTAAAGTTACGAAAATGCTGTAAATTACACAATTGAAAACGAACGCGTTATAAGGGTGCCAAATTATAATTATTTATTTTCATGCTAGGAAAGTAATGCCTCATTTTAAATTAATGCATCACGTGACACCGTCGCTACTTTTAGACTAATAAACAAAAATGGTCTCAAGAAAATGAGATAGGCCGTTTGGTATACAAATAACTTTTGACATAAATGGCAAACGTATAACTCTTTTGAAACAACCAGTATTAACCATCTACTATGTGATGACAGATATTAACCTTTCATCCATAAGTCAAAATGCAACGTGCCTCGTCGTCTATGATTTCCCGCGGACATGCGTGTTTATACAGTATACTTTTACGCACTTCCTTCATCAATATTCATGAAAAGACTGATTTTCTAATTGCAGATCTTGCTTAATTCTTTTGTAATTCTTTAATGTATTTCTTTAAATACTAGTTTCAATTAAGCAAAAAACAGACGAGTACTTTGTTAAGAATCTAATGCAACACATTCCAAAGCCCTGAGAGTGTCATTGACACGTGACTCTTATAATGTAAAGTTTAGATATCCCAGGAAAAACTGTCTTTGGAAAACATTCTATACGTATAAAAGCGTTGCTAATGCTGGAATTCTTCTGTCTCATGTACAAAATAATTATGTAATCTTTTTATATATAGCCTTGCTCTTTAGAGACGCTTTTCATAAAATTGGCTTGGTACACATTTAAAGTAGCAATTACTGTTCAGTAGCGTGTATTACGCTTACTTGTTTTTATGACGTGTCGTTCAAAGAAAACATTTCGCAAATTCTATGGTCGACAATGACATTGTTTGCATATATAATATAAGGTTAGGTTGAAAGTTGACTGGCATCTTTTATCCAATTTTAGGCCATTATTTTCACACTATTGTCTACGGATCATGACAAGGGGGAACACAGCGGGTGTAACCGTCGACAATGGATGCTTACTCTTCCATGGCACATGATCCCACCTCTGTTTTCAGAGGTACGTGTTGACTCTGCACACAATTTTTATTCTTTTTCTTGTTTAAATTTACTTTTGAGCATAGTCATGTTTGTTATCTTCACATTTCATTTTTAGCTTACCTGAGCTGAAAGCTCAAGTGAGCTTTTCTGATCACCCGTTGTCCGTCGTCCGTCCGTCTGTAAACTTTTCACATTTTCAACTTCTTCTCAAGAACCACCGGGCCAATTTTAACCAAACTTGGTACAAAGCATTCTTGGTTGAAGGGGAGTTTAAATTGTTAACATGAAGGGCCAAGTCCCCTTCAAAGGGGAGATAATCAAGAAAATACAAAAATTGGGTGGGGTCATTAAAAATTCTTCTTCTCAAGAACCACTGGGCCAGAAAAGCTGAAACTTATGTGAAAGCATACTGGGGTAGTGTAGATTCTAAATTGTTCAAATCATGACCTCCAGGGTAGGGCAAGGCCACAATAGGGAATCCAAGTTTTACATTGAAATATATAGTAAAAATCTTTAAAAATCTTCTTCTCAAGAACCACTTGGCCAGAAAAGCTGAAACTTATGTGGAAGCATTCTGGGATAGTGTAGATTCTAAATTGTTCAAATCATGACCCCCGGGGGTAGGGCGGGGCCACAATAGGGAATCCAATTTTTACATTGAAATATGTAGTAAAAATCTTCTTCTCAAGAACCACTGGGACAGAAAAGCTGAAAATTATGTGGAAGCATATGGAAGCATGGGGTAGTGCATATTCTAAATTGTTCAAATCATGACCCCGGGGGATGGGCGGAGTTACAATAGGGAATCCAAGTTTTACATTTAAATATATAGTAAAAATCTTTAAAAATCTTCTTCTCAAGAACCACTGGGCCAGAAAGGCTGAAACTTATGTGGAAGCATCCTGAGGTAGTGTAGATTCTAAATTGTTCAAATCATGACCTCCAGGGTAGGGCAGGGCCACAATAGGGAATCCAAGTTTTACATTGAAATATATAGTAAAAATCTTTAAAAATCTTCTTCTCAAGAACCACTTGGCCAGAAAAGCTGAAACTTATGTGGAAGCATTCTGGGGTAGTGTAGATTCTAAATTGTTCAAATCATGACCCCCGGGGGTAGGGCGGGGCCACAATAGGGAATCCAATTTTTACATTGAAATATGTAGTAAAAATCTTCTTCTCAAGAACCACTGGGACAGAAAAGCTGAAAATTATGTGGAAGCATATGGAAGCATGGGGTAGTGCATATTCTAAATTGTTCAAATCATGATCCAGGGGGAAGGGCGGAGTTACAATAGGGAATCCAAGTTTTACATTGAAACATGCAGAAAAAATCTTCTTCTCAAGAACCACTGGGCCAGAAAGGCTGAAACTTATAAGGAAGCATCCTGGGGTAGTGTAGATTCTAATTGAACAAATCATGACCCCTGGGGATAGGGCGGGGCCACAATAAGTACTACAAGGGGGGGGGGAATCAGGTGAAAAACAGCAAGGCCAAAGTTACTCAGGTGAGCGTTGTGGCCCATGGGCTTCTTGTTATGTTTTTGCGGCCATTAGCGCGTACCGCATATAATCATTTTTGGGGGAATTTG